TTAATTTCTGTTTATCTGGAAATGACCTAATTTCACCATCAAATTTGAACGAGAGTTTTGCAGGATATATTATGAGCATTATATTCTTTTAAGAACTATCTATATGGGATCAAATTGACAACAGCAACTCCAAAGATTAGATAGGAAGATTAGAGGGCAGTGAGTTTATGTTAACTGGGGAGGCACATCTCAGAAAAGGAGGGTGAGAATGGCTGCACAACACAAAGAAAGTGATCAATGTCACTGAATTGTACCTGTGGAAATTGTTGGACTGGTGTATGTTCAGCAGCAATCAGGAAAATAATATTATTAAAAAATGAAAGCGCATGAACACACACACAGTCCCACATCACAAACAGCTTCGTTTCTCGGTGTTTATTTACACGATATTAATATAAAGTAGAAAAATAAACATTTTATTGGGTCAGAGTTTGGGATTCTGCACACATATATAAATAGCTATTTGGCAACAATAATTTAAGAACACTGATCAGTGCATATATACAATGTCTGGGGTGCTAGGAGAGGTTGGGTGGTGGGTCTGAGGGTTCAGACACACTGGTCCCCGCTGGCAACACATTTCAGGTCCCGTGTGAGGAGGCGGAAGAGGTTGAACATGACAGAGGCCTCGAGGCAGCTTCGAGACTCCTGTGGGGTAGATGAGTCAGTGGTCTCCCACTGCCCGGCACCAGCTTCCTCCCTTACCCAGGGGCCTGGTATCAGCCTCCTGCCTGTCACTCACCGTCTTTATGGCCTCCTGGAGCCTGTGTAGCCAGCGTTGGAGGTGGCCCCGGCTTCTGGGGCCTACTGTGGGCTGAGCCGGGATCTGTAGGCAGAGGATGGGGGAGTGTGAGGCAGGGCCTAGGCAGAGGGATCCCGCAAGGCCAGAGCCCACAGAAGGGTCTTGGGTGCCCTGAGGACTCACACAGGCCAGGATCTTGGAGTGGATGTGGCGCAGCATGTGAAGGGGCTGTTCCAGGATGGCCCCCAGGGCCGAGTCAGCCATGGTCTTCAGGACCTTCAGCGTCAGGGACAGCTCAGCCTCCAAGGCCACAGGGCGCTCCCACACCTGAGGACAGGAGACAGAAGACAGGTGAGGATTGCACCTGAGAGAGAACAGGTGAGGTGGGCAGATGAGTGAGGATAGAGAAAGGAACAGGTGAAGGTGACAGGCAAGGGGGACAAGTGAGGGCACAGCTAATGTGCTCAGGTGAGGGGAACAAGTAAGGGAGGACTGGGATGGGGGAGGAAGAGAAGGACAAGTGAGGAGCAGTGAAGGGCCCATAAGGTGCAGGATGAGTAGAGCCAGATAAGGGCAGGCGTGGCCCTGGCTCTCTCAGCTCACCTGCAGCTGCTTCAGGTCCCGGGTCACGGGGAAGAGACGGGAGCTGCAGGTCCAGTTCTTCAGCAAGCGCGACTCTTCCTAGAGAGCAAGTGTAGAGATTAGCCCATGGGAGCAGGGATGAAGGTTAGACCACTCTGGCAGGAATGGAGGATGCCTAGCAACAGGAGGTTAACCCGCAAACAGAGGCTCCTTCAGTGTGGAGGACACAGGTTAGCCCACTGCAGTTAAAGCAGATCACCCAGTGAAGCAGGGTGGAGGTCAGCCCAGTGAAGTTAGGGTGGAAGTTAG